AGTTGAGATAAGGGAAGGCCTCTGTCTCCTGCTCTTCCCTGGGAATGGCATGTCTCAGTGTAAAGCCGACCATTCATTCTATTCTGAGATAGGAGAAAACCGCCCTGTGGCTGGAGGCGAGATATGCTGGCAGCAATACTGCTCTGTTACTCTTTGCTACACTGAGATGTTGTGTAAAATGAAGCATAAATCTAGCCTATGTGCACATCCAGGCAAGTACCTTCCCTTGAAATTATTCATGATACACATTCCTTTGCTCACATGTTTCCCTGCTGACCTTCTCCCCGCCATCACCCTGTTGCCCGGCCACACCCCCTTCACCAAGATAGTAAAAACAGTGATCAATAAATACTGAGGGAACTCAGAGACCAGTGCTGGTGCAGGTCCTCACACGTTAAGCGCCAGTCTCCTGGGCCTACTATTGTTTCTTGATTCTTTGTCTCTGTGTTTTATTTGTTTTCTCAGTCTCTGGTCTCCACCTGACAAGAAATACCCACAGGTGTGGAGGGGCAGGGGTCCCTGTGGCTTTCCGCAGTGCATTGTGTCCCTGGTTAACAGAGAACAGAGAATGGCGACGACTTTTACCAAGCGTACTGCCTGCAAACATATTGTTAACAAGGCACATCCTGCACAGCCCTAAATCCATTAAACCTTAATTCAATACAGCACATGTGTCTGTGAGCACAGGGCTGGGGCTCAAGTTACAGGTTAACAGCATCTCAAAGCAGAACAATTTTTCTTAGTACAGATCAAAATGGAGTTTCTTATGTCTTCCTTTTCTACATAGACACAGTAACAATCTGATCTCTCTTTCTTTTCCCCACAGCAGGTATCTCACATAACAAGAGTGGAGTTGGGGGCAGGAGGCACCTCACTCTTTTAAACAATTACATCTCACATGAACTCAGAGTGAGAACTCACTCACTGTCATGAGGATGGCACCAACATGTTCATGAGGGACCTACCCCTACAATCCACCAGGCCCACCTCCACCACCAGGGACTACACTTCCGGAGACTTCTGAAATCCCACCAGGCCCACCTCCACCACCAGGGACTACGCTTCCGGAGATTTCTGAAATGCCTTTGAGGCCTTTTCCCCATGAGATTTAGAAGAGACAGACATCTAAACCATATCATTCCACCCTGGGCTTCCCGAATCTCATGTCCTTCTCATATTGCAAAGTAAGATCGTCCCTTCTCAGTAGCTCCCCAAAGTCTTAACTCGTCCCAGCATCAACATAACCAAAAGCCTCCAGTCCCAGGTTCAGTCTCATCTGGAAATGAGTTCCTTCCACCTATGAGCCTACGAACTCAAAGACAAGTTATTTATTTCCAAGATACAATGGGGATGCAGGCATTGGGTAAACATTCCCATTCCAAAAGGGAGAAATTGGCCAAAAGAAAGGGACAATTGTCCTCTCTCTGGTCTGTGCCTCCAAGATGACAAAGAAAAGAAGGAACAATGGTCATGCCAAGAAGGGCTGCAGCCATGTGCAGCCGATTTGCTGCGCGAATGGTGCCTGATGTGTGGCCAAGGACAAGGCCATTAAGAAATTCATCATCTGAGGCCGGGCATGGTGGCTCACACCTGTAATCCCAGCAAGGCCAAGGTGGGTGGATCACCTGAGATCAGGAGTTCCAGACCAGCCTGGCCAACATGACAAAACCCCGTCTCTACTAAAAATACAAAAAATAGCTGGGTGTGATGGTGGGTGCCTGTAATCCCAGCTACTCAGGAGGCATGAGAATCTCTTGAACCTGGGAGGCGGAGGTTGTAGTGAGCTGAGATCGCGCCACTGCACTCCAGCCTGAGCGACAGAGTGAGACTCCATCTCAAAAGAGAAAGAAAAAAGAAAAGAAAAGAAATGCATCATTGGAAACATCATGAGGCCACAGCAGTCAGGGACTTTTCTGAAGCAAGCGTCTTCAATGCCTGTGAGCTTCCCCAGCTGTATGTGAAGCTACATTCTTGTGCGGGTTGTGCAATTCACAACAAGGGAGTCAGGAATGGATCTCGTGAAGCCCACAAGGACTGAACACCCCCACCTTGATTTAGACCTGTGAGTGCTGCCCTGTGACCCCCACCAAAGCCCACATGAGGAACTGAGTCCTTAAAGACTGAAGACGGACTATTCTCAGGAGAAAAATAAAATGGATATTTACTGAAAGAAAGGAAGAAAGGAAGAGAGAGAGAAAGAGAGAGAGAGAGAGAGAGAAAGGAAGGAAGGAAGGAAAGAAGGAAGGAAGGAAGGAAGGAAGGAAGGGAAGAAGGAAGGAAGGAAAGAAAGAAAGAGACAAGGGGCCACATGCAAGTCCTGTGCCCAGCACAGGAGTCATTATGTCTTCCGGCTCCAGTACAGGCAATGCTCTGTCTCTCCCTACACAGTCATTTAGGGAGAATTCTGTCACATTGGAAGAACTTTGGTTATCCATCCATGACCAAAAAAAAAAAAAAAAAAAAAAAAAAAATCTTTTATTGCAACACAGCTTGGCCAATGTTTGTTTGGGGGTCTGAGAAACGGGGGCCAGTTTTTGGATCTTTGCAATTTCATACCATTTATCCATTAAAACTGTTCTGCCAGAGGTCAGGTAAAGGGGGCAGGACACCTTGACATGTATGTGGCTGCGTAATGAGGATGCTGAAGCAAAGGGAAATGAGCTCATGGAGTGAGGCACTGCTAAGGTCTGTCCTGCTCCCCAGGGGAGGAGGAGAAAACCTCCAAACCTGACAGTGAGTACCCTAAACCCCATAGTGTCTCCTGCCCCAGCTCAGAAAAGAGAGGGAATGTGACTCCCAGAGTACAGGGAAGCACCAGGGCTACTGTCTTCCTCTCAGACTAGGCTAGGTACTAATTTTGGCCGAGAAGTCACGGAGTCCAGAGCAGGGCACTGCATAATGTTCCCACGATGACAACAGCCATCAGCAAGCAACTCCAGCCCGAAATGATTGGGCCTGTAATCCCTGCTCCACCTCAGACTTGTTAAATTGGAAGAACTCTAACCCTCCCTACAGACAGGGAGGATCCCCGAAAGATGGCTGAATTATTGACCACTATTTGCTGCACACCATCTCACCTGGGCAGACGTGCAGGCTCTCTGGGACAATATGCTCACTGCAGATGAGCCACAACTGGTTTTAAATGAAGTAAAGGAAGAGGTACAGCAGCTTCATGATGAAAATCCAGACAACACTCTAGATCCTGACCAGAGCAATTCCCTGCACGGACCCAAACTGGGATGTTGTAGAGGACATACATCCCACTGTAGCTAACCTGTATACTATGTCTGTTTCTCTTCCTGGAGATCATAAATGGTTTGCAGTATTGGATTTAAAAGAAGCTTTCTGTTGCATACCCACAGACACAGAAAGCTAACTGTTGTTCACCTTTGAATAGATAGGTCCTAAAGCCACACACAATTTCAGTATCATTGGACCGTGCTCCCACCAGGATTTCAAAGCTCTCCAACTATATTTGGAGTAGCCTTGGCTCAAGATTTGAGGAGCTTACAATTGAAAAACTGGGTATAGTTACAATATGTGGATGATTTACTAAGATCTAGCCCCTCTGAATGGGACTATCAGAATACACCATTAAAACGCTAAACCATCTAGCAACCTGTGGATCTAAGGTTTCAAGTAAAAAGGCTCAAATATGCCAACAAACTGTGGAATATTTAGGTTTTCTCTTACAGAAGGGAAACAGAGCTCTAACAGTGGAAGGGCGAAATGCAACCTCTTCCATCTCAGCCACAGCTACCCGAAGGCAGCTAAGAGGATTTCTAGGCATAACAGGGTTTTGTTAATCCGGATTCCTAACTATGAACTACGGTGAAGCCACTAGACAAACTGTTGAAGGAGCTAACCGTGGCCCCTTCTCCTGTGAACAAAACACCAGCACGCATGTGAATAACTGAAACCTAAGTTAACCTCTGCCCTAGTCCTCGGGCTCCCAAATTCTCACAAGCCCTTTCACGAGCCTGAGAGACTGGGTCTAACACTAGGGGTCCTTACACAGAATTAGGAAGAATATTGCAGCCAGTGGCTTACTGGACACTGTGGCCAAAGACTGGCCCCTTGTGTAAGGGTGGTCGCTGCCACCTGCCTGCTGTTAAAGGAAGCTGAAAAAGTTGGTTTGGGGACAGCCCATCATGATCCACGAACCTCACCAGGTGCTGGTGTTACTAGAACAGAAGGACTGACAGCAGGCAGGCTGAGCAAATGCCAGGCCACACCTCAGATGACCCTGCAGGAAAAGTGCAGACTGCTGGAGCCTTAAACCCAGAAACTGTACTTCCTGCTACTGAAGAGCACAAAGAACCTATGCACAATCATTTAGAAATTATCTACCAGGTGTCTTCCAGTTGCCCTAATTTATTTGTTTGCTTGTTTATTTATTTATTTATTTTATTTTATTTTTGAGACGGAGTCTCGCTTTGTTGCCCAGGCTGGAGTGCGGTGGCGTGATCTCGGCTCACTGCAAGCTCCGCCTCCCGGGTTCACGCCATTCTCCTGCCTCAGCCTCCCAGTAGCTGGGACTACAGGTGCCCGCCACCACGCCCGGCTAATTTTTTGTATTTTTAGTAGAGACGGGGTTTCACCTTGTTAGCCACGATGGTCTCGATCTCCTGACCTCGTGATCCACCTTCCTCGGCCTCCCAAAGTGCTGGGATTACAGGCGTGAGCCACCGCGCCCAGCCCAGTTGCCCTGATTTAAAGGACACAGCCCTGCCACATTCAGACTGGACATTGTTCGTGGAAGGGAGCAGCCTGGTAACCAACAGAAAAAGAAATGTTGCATATGCCTTGGTAACTGTTTCCAAGGTAACAGAAGCGGGGACTTTACTAATGGGAATCTCTGCACAGGAGGCAGAACTGATTGCCCTTATGAGAGCCCTGTGGTTGTCCCAAGTACACAGGGCACTCGAATAAATTGGGAGTCGCACTCAGCATGGAGACCACAATCCTCTGGACCGATGGAAAGGAAAAATCAAACCCTAAAAAACAGTTCTTACCAAACCGTGTCAGGAAACTCAACTGAAATGGATTTAGGGCTTTGGCCTTGCACTGCTCCGGGTAAGAGTGGACCCCCAGAAGTGGGATCAGGTTAAGTCCCTAAGAAATTATATAGGGGAGACCCTTGGCTGCTAATCTGTCTCAGGTTACTGGGGTGCCCCTTGGTAGAAAGCCAACTATTAAACATACTCAGGTGGGACAAATTCTTCATGTTTTGCATAAGCTTGCTCTGAACAGGAGCCCTGTGAACTCGGCAGAACCGGTCCGCTCGTTCCAGCCTGGTGATCAAGTGCTGCTAAAACATGGGCCCAACTCAGCAGCTGTCTGTCCCCTTTGCCAATACCTAGCTGTCACAACAACAGAAAGTTTCAGAAAATCTTGACACGTGATTCATAAGCCCTTGTTCTTCTCCAAGGTTGCCCTGGTTATTCTAAAATTTTAGTATTTCCAGGTAAATTATAGACTCAGCAGGCGAATTTTGACATCCTCATCATTATCATCATTCCTGATACCCTTTTGATCAGGATTGCATCAAGTCTATACATCAGTTTAAAAGTATTAACTCTTCCAACAGATGCCTTTGTATGTCCTTCCTTATGTAGATCTCCATTTTTTTCTCATGTGTATTTTTATTTTTATTTCTTTGAAATGGAGTCTCACTCTGTCGCCAAGGCTGGAGTGCAATGGTGCGATCTTGGCTCACTGCAACCTCCACCTCCTGGGCTCAAGTGATTTTCGTGCCTCAGCTTCCCAAGTAGCTGGGATTACAGGCACCCACCACCATACCCGGCTAAGTTTTTGTATATTTAGTAGAGACAGGATTTCACCACGTTGACCAGGCTGGTCTTGAACTCCTGACCTCATGATCCACCCACCTCGGCCTCCCAGAGTGCTGGGATTACAGGCGTGAGCCACCATGCCCGGCCTCATGTGTATTTTCTTGGTTTTTCAGGGTAGAGATCTTCTGCATCTCTTGTTGGGTTTCATTTTAAACATTATATTGGTTTTGATGATAATATAAATGATATTGTCTTTTACATTTCACTTTACCTTGTCAGTCTATAGAATATATTTGATTTTTGTACCTTGACCTTCAGAACCCTGTTAAATTTATGTATATTTTGTTTGCAAATTCTTTTGGTTTCTCCCCATATGCAAGTATATCATTTGCAAATAATGACATTTTCATTTCCTTTCTAGTCATACCTTTTTCTTGCCATATTGCATTTATTTCTTTCCAACCTTTATATGTTTTATTTCTAATTCTAGATTAATTGCATGGCTGAGCATGGGACACATGTGATAAACGTTCTACATTCACTTAAAGAAATGTGGATTCTCCAGGTGTTTGGTACAGCATTCCATGTATGTTCAGTATGTGAATATTTATAATCCTGTATAAATTCATGTATTCTATTTTTTGGTCTGCTTGTTCTATCAGTTACTTAAAGATTCATATTAAAATACCTGGCCAGGCATGGTGGCTCGTGCCTGTAATCCCAGCACTTTGGGAGGCCGAGGCGGGCAGATCACCTGAAGTCGGGAATTCAAGACCAGCCTAACCAACATGGAGAAACCCCATCTCTACTAGATATACAAAATTAGCTGGGCATGGTGGCACATGCCTGTGATCCCAGCTACTCAGGAGGCTGAGGCAGGAGAATCACTTGAACCTGGGAGGTGGAGGTTGCATTGAGCCAAGATCGTGCCATTGCACTCTAGTCTGGGCAACAAGAGCAAAACTCCATCTCAAAAACAAAACAAAACAAAACAAACACCAAACGAACAAACAAACAAACAAAAACCTAAGTGTGATTGTGGATTTGCCTTGATTTTCAGCTTTGTCATATTGTGCTTAAATGTTTGGAAGCTGTTATTAGATATGTACAAATGTAGGATTAAAATATTGTCCTATTGTGTTGACCCTTATATCACTATAAATATCCTTTTATTTCAGTTGCATTTCCTGCCTAATACTATCAGTATGATGTATCTTTTCCCATTGTCTTCTTTCAGTGACCTTTTTTTTTTTTTGTAGACAGGGTCTTGCTATGTTGCCCAGGATTGTCTTGAACTCTTGGGCTCAAGAGATCCTCTGACCTCAGCCCCTCAAAGTGCTGGGATTACAGACATGAGCCACCATGTCTGGCCTGTGTCCTTCCTTTTAAAATAAGTGCTGTGACCAGTTTATTGTTATCTTTATTCAGCCTAAAACTTTCTGTCTTTAAATTAGAATAAGTTCATTTACATTTAATGTGAGAACTAACATAGTTGGGTTAAAATATTCCATTTCACTGTTTGCTTTTATTTTTTCCCAGCTTTTTTTTTCTTTGTTTCCTTTACTGTATTCTTCTGGATTTGTTAAATATTTCTCGTATTTTGTTTTGTTATATTCTGACATATATTTTACATGATTCGTCAGTGGTTATTTTAGACATTACGATATGCATCTTTGACCTATAGTCCATCTTAAGTTGGTTACTGTCTCATCATAGGGTCCAGCCCTACAGGGCCTGTGGGTTTTTCTCCTCATGTGTGGAGATGAGGATCGTAGAAATAAAGACACAAGACAAAGAGACAGAAGAAAAGACATTTGGGCCCTGGGGACCACTACCACCAAGGTTCGGAGACCAGTAGTGGCCCCGAATGCCCGGCTGTGCTGTCATTTATTGTATACAAGGCAAGAGGGCAGGATAAGGAGCGTGAGTTGTCTCCAATGATAGGTAAGGTCACATGGGTCACGTGTCCACTGGACAGGGGGCCCTTCCCTCTTTGGTAGTCAAGGCGGAGAGAGAGAGGGGAGAGTTTGTGTCATTATTTCTTCTATGTATTTCTGGAGAGATCAAAGACTTTAATACTTTCACTAATTCTGCTACTGCTATCTAGAAGGCAGAGCCAGGTGGACAGGGCGGAACATGAAAGTGGACCAGGAGCATGACCGCTGAAGCACAGCATCACGGGGAGACGTTTAGGCGTCCGGATGGCTGCAGACAGGCTTGACTGATGTCAGGCCTTCCACAAGAAGTGGTGGGGCGGAGTCTTCTCTAACTCCCCAAGGAAAGGGAGACTCCCTTTCCCAGTCTGCTAAGTAACGGGCGCCTTCCCAGGCACTGGCATTACCGCTAGACCAAGGAGCCCTCTAGTGGCCCTGTCCGGGCATGACAGAGGCTCACACTAGGCTTCTGGTCACTTCTCACCGTGTCCCTTCAGCTCCTATCTCTGTATGGCCTGGTTTTTCCTAGGTTATAATTGTAGAGCAAGGATTATTGTAATACTGGAAAAAAGAGTAATGCTACAAACTAATGATTGATAATATTCATATAGAGTCATATCTATAATCCATTTCTAGTATAACTATTCTCATTCTATATATTTTCTTTATTAGACTGGAACAGCTTGTGCCCTCGGTCTCTTGCCTCGGCCCCTGGGTGGCTTGCCGCCCACACTCATGAACAATTCAAGAACATTACACAGCATAACTTCATTTACCTACCTCTATTCCATTGTACTTTCGTTGTTTTAATATTTGCTTGTGCCAGACACAGTGGTTCATGCCTGTAATCCCAGTACTTTGAGAGGCTGAGGTGGGAGGATCACTTGAGCTCAGGAGTTCAAGACAAGCCAGATATCGGGGAAACCCCCCAATGTTTCAACACAGGCTCTTTCTATTTTCCGTGTCAGCTGGCTGAGAAATAAAGAGAAAGAGTACAAAGAGAGGAATTTTACAGCTGGGCCGCCAGGGGTGACATCACATATCGGTAGGACCATGATGCCCACCTGAGCCTCAAACCAGCAAGTTTTTTATTAAGGATTTCAAAAGAGGAGGGGGTGTAATAACAGAGAGTAGGTACAAAGATCACATGCTTCAAAGAGCAAAAAGCAGAACAAAGATCACATGCTTCTGAGGGAACAGGACAAATGGCAAAAGCAGAACTACTGATAAGGGTCTATGTTCAGGGTGCACATATTGTCTTGATAAACATCTTAAACAACAGAAAACAGGGTTCAAGAACAGAGAACCGGTCTGATCACAAATTTACCAGGGCGGAGTTTTTTCCCCACCCTAGTAAGCCTGAGGGCACTGCAGGAGACCAGGGCGTATCTCAGTCCTTATCTCAACCACGTAAGATAGACACTCCCAGAGTGGCCGTTTATAGACCTCTCCCCAGGAATGCATTCATTTCCCAGGGTATTAATATTAATATTCCTTGCTGGGGAAAGAATTTAGCGATATCTCTCCTACTTGCACGTCCGTTTATAGGCTCTCTGCAAGAAGAAAAATATGGCTCTTTCTGCCCACCCCGCAGGCAGTCAGATCTTACAGTTGTCTTCCCTTGTTCCCTAAAAATCGCTGTTATTCTGTTCTTTTTCAAGGTGCACTGATTTCATATTGTTCAAACATACATGTTTTATAATCAATTTGTACAGTTAACACAATTACCACAGTGATCCTGAGGTGACATACATCCTCAACTTACAAAGATAACAGGATTAAGAGATTAAACACAGACATAAGAAATTATAAAAGTATTATTTGGGAACTGATAAATATCCATGAAATCTTCACAATTTATGTTCCTCTGCTATGGCTCCAGTCGGTCCCTCCATTTGGGGTCCCTGACTTCCTGCAACACCAGGCAACATATCATGATTCCATTTCTACAAACAAATTTTAAAAATTAGCTGGGTGTGGTCATGTGTGCCTATAGTCCCATGTATATTTACTTGTATGTATGTTATAAACCTACAAGATGTTATTCTTATTTTACACCAATAATTACACCAATATTATTTTATATTTATCCAAGTAGTTATTATTTCTGCTTCTCTTGCCTTCTTAGAGTTCCATACTCCCATTTGGGATCGTTATAAGTTAGCTTGAAGAACGGTGCTGGAACAATTGAATATTTGTCTAAAAAAAAAAAAACTCTTCAGTAAATCATGACCCCAAGCCTCACAGTCTACCCAAAACCATCCTAACCCTGAATGTAGGACTTAAAAACAATAAAACATTTAGAAGTCAACACATGGGAATATTTTAAGAAATCCTTGTCTACTCCACAAAAGCACTAACTATCAGAGTAAACGTACATGAATTTGACCTCATTAACATTGAGAATTTCTGTTCATAAGAAGATGTGGCCGCACGTGGTGGCTCATGACTGTAATCCCCGCACTCTGGGAGGCTGAGGCAGGCAGATCACTTGAGCCCAGGAGTTCAAGGCCAGCCTGGCCAATCATCTCTATTTTATTTTTAAAAATATATTACAAATATGGTGGATATGCATGTTTAATCATTCACCTGCCACCTCACTGCCTGTCCTTTCTGAGGTGGCCTTAACCTGGTCACTCCTCATCCCAGCCCCTTGTTTGTGCATCCTGAGAACCATCATCACTATCTGAAATGCTCTATTTGTTTGTAATTGAATACAGTTAAATTAATTGCACTGACATTAATGAACTTGCCTCCACTTTCTTTCTTCTCAATTTGACTCAGTCTGTGGGCTGCCAAGATTTGAGAGAGATGCAGAGGGAGGGAGGGTCAGACAGAGGCGACGCTGAGACCACCCTCACCATGGGCTGTATCCCTCTAGAGCTGCTGAGACCACCCGCGCCGTGGGCTGCAACCCTCCAGAGCTGCTGAGACCACCCACACCATGGGCCGCAACCCTCCAGAGCTGCTGAGACCACCCATGCCATGGGCCGCAACCCTCCAGAGCTGCTGAGACCACCCATGCCGTGGGCCGCAACCCTCCAGAGCTGCTGAGACCACCCACACCGTGGGCCGCATCCCTCTGGTTGCACGTGGGCTGGTTGAAATCTCTCATATGGCACCCGACACAGGCCACCAATCAAGCCGGCTGCAAGAGCTGGAAAATCTCACCCAGTCTAACTGGCTGTTGGATGGTTTTTCAAGGACATTTCGACAGGCAGAAGCCCTAGATAGGGCTCATCAGATCGACGCAGTGATTAGCCTGAATGTGCCCTTTGAGGTCATTAAACAAACGCCTTACTGCTCGCTGGATTCATCCCGCCAGCGGCCGAGTCTACAAGATTGAATCAACCCTCCCAACACTGTGGGCACTGATGCTCTGCCTGGGGACCCTCTCATTCAGCATGAGGATGATAAACCAGAGATGGTTATCAAGAGACTAAAGGCAGCCAGGCACAGTGGCTCACACCTGTAATCCCAGCATTTGGGGAGGCCGAGGCAGGCGGATCACAAGGTCAGGAGTTCTAAACCAGGCTGGCCAATATGGTGAAACCCCATCTCTACTAAAAATACAAAAATTAGCTGGGCGTGGTGGCGGGCACCTGTAGTCCCAGCTACTCAGGAGGCTGAGCAGGAGAATCGCTTGAACCTGGGAGGTGGAGATTGCAGTGAGCCGAGATGGCGCCACCACACTCCAGCCTGCGC